GGGTTGGGGGCGGGGGGGATGCCCCATGTCCACGGAGCATCCCCATTGTCCTTTTCAGCAGGGTCTCATTGGCTTGGGCGTGTCTGGTTCATCTTCGGGTCTTTGTCCCAGAGTGGCAGCTGGCAGGTAGTTCTAGCCTCCTTGCCCTACAGCAGAGCCCCCAGCCCCCTCCCACGTGCAGGTTGCCACCACAGTTGCTTCTTTTTTAGCTAGTGGAGAGCACAGGGAGGGGAAAGGCGCTCAGAAGGACTCAGAATAAAAACTGAACATTCCTTGCACGCCCCATCCCTCCAGAGGAGGCGAGGCAAAGCCTCACACGTCTCTGAGACGGCCTTAACAGTGCACGGAGAAGCATCTGTGTCACAGTGGGTTTAAACCCACATGGAGCCTCTCCATTTTCCTCACTGTGAGCTGGAGGCCCAGCCCGTCCCTAATGCTCCAGCTGTCTCATGTTTGAGTGGCACCCATGTCCCATTGACCCTGGGCTCTGGGTACACAGGACCTGGGCTGGATGTTTTGGGGCCGCTGGGAACAGCAGGGCTGACCCCACAGCTCTCATGACCTCCAGAATGTTCCCCTACATTGTGTAGTGGGCGCTGGATGTGGTGACATGGCCATAGGTGCCATCAAGGCCTTGGGAAATCCTGGCCTGGAATTCAGTGAGCGAGATGCTTCTCTGGGTCCCTCTCATACTACTATCTTTTTCTCTCACCGCAAATCATACGCAAATCACTGGTTGAAGGCACAACCTTCATTTATTTAATTTTTTAAGCATTTTATTTATTTTTAGGGGGAGGGAAGGAGGGAGGGAGAAAGGGGGAGAGAAACATCAATGTGTGGTTGCATTTTGCGTACTCCCCTGGGAGACCTGGCCTGCAACCCAGGCATGTGCCCTACTTGAGAATCGAACCGGCGACCCTTTCGTTTGCAGACCGGCACTCAGTCCACTGAGCCACACCAGCTAGGGCTGAAGGCACAACTTTAAAATGCTGTGGATTTAGAAGCTGGGTTCAAGTTTCCTGCGTGTCCTCCCTGGGAGAGCCCTGGCTCTGGGAAGGCACTCATTGCATGCCTGGCCTTGCTTTGTTCTAGGATCATCCAGCAGCTGGTCAACGGATTCATCACTCCAGCCACCATCCCCAACCTGGGCCTGGGCCCCTGGTGAGTAGGTGGGCGGGTCCCCCAAGCCCCACCCAGCCCCTCTGCCACTTGAACCCCACACGTCTCTGCCCAGGGGTGTCCTGCACTCAAACCCGATGGACTACGCCTGGGGGGCCAACGGGCTGGATGCGATCATCACGCAGGTATGGGGTGGGCCTCCCCAGGTGGTACTAGGGGCATCACATCTTTCCTTCTAATGGGACTAGGTGTTTTGACAGGCCCACTGTCCCCTGGAGCACTGAGAGGACTGGGAGTATGTTCCTGGTGGAGTTCATCCCTGGTGTGAACGCTTTGCTTCCCAGCTGCCCACCTCCCTATAACTTCTGTTCTGGGGCTGGGGCACACCAGCCAAATGCTTTCTCCCAGCGGGACCACCATGGGGCAGAAAGCCACGTGCTGGTGCTGTGGGTCCTGGCTTTGTCCCATGTGGGATTCCACGTTCTCCCCAGCCTATCTTGGCATGGGTGTTCACTGTAACCTCAGTGGCACTTGTGTGGCAGAAACATTGCCACTTTCAGGGCTGCTTGTCAATGATCCCTTTGAATATTTTGTCTCTGGCGGGATCAGCCCTCTGGTTCTAGCTGATGCCTCATAGGATGCAGGAGCCACTGGGTGGGACCCTCGGCCCCAAGGCCTGGTCTTCCCACGCTGGTTGTGAGGTGATGACTAGATGAGCAGAAGAGCAGGCTGGGCCCATGGCTGGGCCTCATGGGGTACCTGGCCTCTAACCCCCAAGTAAAGGTTCTGGGGAACCAGAACAAACACAGCCTCGGTGCTTTTGCAGGTAACCCAGCCTTGCATTTCAGAGTCTGGCGGGGCAAGGGGCCCCGCCCGCCGACCGAGCTCCTGCACTCTGGCCTCTTGTCTTTCAGCTCCTCAATCAGTTTGAAAACACAGGCCCCCCGCCCGCAGATAAAGAGAAAATCCAGGCCCTCCCCACCATCCCTGTCACTGAGGAACACGTAGGTACGAGGCCCTCAAGTCACCCAGCTTCTTTTCAAAATACTTTCCCTGGGACTTTTCTGTTGGACCAAAGGTCAGCTTGAAGGGGAGGCTTTATCAGTTTCCCTTTTGTTCCCCTGGGACACAGGACTCAGGACACGGCCTCTCTCCCTCCCCTGGGTCCTAGGGGCCCTGGATGGGCAGACTCCCTACTGGGACACCTTTGGTTGGGGGCGTCACAGGGGTTCTCTGCTTCCCATAGGCTCTGGGCTGGAGTGCCCCGTGTGCAAGGACGACTACGAGCTGGGTGAGCGCGTGCGGCAGCTGCCCTGCAACCACCTCTTCCACGATGGCTGCATTGTGCCCTGGCTGGAGCAGGTGAGCAGGCAGGTGGCCAAGGTGACAGGGCCCTCCTCACCCCTGCCCCTACCGGCCTCTCAACTGCTTCCTTCTCCCCACTCTGTCCCCACAAAGCATGACAGCTGCCCCGTCTGCCGAAAAAGCCTCACAGGACAGAACACGGCCACCAACCCCCCAGGCCTAACTGGGATGAGCTTCTCCTCCTCCTCCTCGTCGTCCTCCTCCAGCTCGCCCAGCAATGAGAACCCAGCAAGCAACTCCTGAGTCCCCCCCGCCAGTCCCCAGAGTAAGCACAGGACCCCGGCCAGCCCAGGCCTGGCGGGCATGGGGACCCCAACATCCCGGAGCCCAGGAGGTGCCCCCTACCCGCCTCGGCTCTCATACCACCATGGCTCCCGTGGACTCTGGTGCCAGCTGTGCCCCCAGCTGTGGGCAGAGGCTCAGAGGACCCACTGCCTCCAGGTTGTGGAGGGAGCCTGGCCCTCCCCCAGGAACTTCTCTTGAAGGGCTGGGCACAGAGGGGGGCAGGGCACATGTTGCCCCCAGGCGTCCCCAGCATCCCCCGTCTCATTTGTCTTTAACCTCACCCTCTATATGTTGAACAGCAGAAAGGTTTTTATAATTTTAAATTATTACTGCTTTGAAATAAATGGACATTAGCTTACACACCGCCCTGCATGATCTGTGGAAAGACGGGGTAGAGCCGCTCAACTGGGGTCTTGGCCCCACCAGATAGGCCAGCAGTCCCCACCCTGAGTGCGGGGGGCTCGGGACCACAAGGATGACCAGCAAAACAGAACAAAACCGCTCTGACGACATTGTTTTTTAAGGAAAAAAATATGTGTATCTTGAAAGTTATTTAAAAAATACACCTACTTAGAAAGAGAAGCAGGTGGTTGGCGTTTTCATTCTGCGCCGAACCCTTGGGTTGTGCCTCTTGGGCACCAGCCAACACCACTGTCCCAAACCAGAACCCTGGAAGTGGGCTGGCAAGGCTCAGTAAGAGAGGTGCAGCGGGTCACTGCATCAGAAATGTGAACCCGAGGAAACCCCAATGCACTGAGCTGTAAGTTGGGGCCTTCCCCGCTCGCCCTTACTGCAGCTGATGGAGTTTCAGGTATGAGGGCTACTTTGGAGTGCAGGGTCACCTGGGTGGAGCCACTGGCCCTGACCACAGTCAGTGTCCACTGCACCCTGCAGGTAAGTGATCCCCGACTTTCTTTTCTGTATTTCAAGTGGCAAAAGGAGGCTGGGAGGGGTGGGATCCTCACCCCTACTCCCCGGGACTGTTAATCCGCTTCAAGAAGAATGTTTCACCCTTGGCTTGGGAGGGGCTCCCATGTTAGCCTCCCGTAAATCTCCGTGGGGTAAATGGCATCATCATCCCCACTAGAAAGGGAAACAGGCCCGGAGTGGAGCTGCCTGGCCCAAGGCTGTCAAACTCACTCAGCCCCAGGGTGGGGGCTCGGGGGTGCTGGGAGGTCGGTGGGTACTTCCCCAGGCACAGCACTCCTGTGTTCCCTCACTTCCCCAAGCCTGTGGAGGACGCTGACATGAAGCCCTTCAGCCTGCACATGGCACCCCTATCGCCTGAAGAACTGAGGAGCTCTGAAGACGTTACTCAGTTTCAGACCCTGTGTGTGTGTTTCTACAACTGCTGTGACAAATCACCAAACCTTTGTGGCTTAAATGACATACGTTTATTCTCTAACAGTTCTGAGATCAGGAACTTTCGGGCTAGTCTCATAGGGCTAAACCCAGGTGTGGGCAGGACCAGTCAAGGCTCCAGGGAGGACCATTTCTGGCCTTTTCTACCTTCCAGAGGGGCCGCATCCCCAGCCATGGCCCCTTCCTCCATTGTCAGAGCCAGCAGCGCAGCCTCTCCCATCTCTGACTCTGACCCTCCTGCCTCCCGTTTATGAGGCCCCTGTGAGGACCTGGGCCCCTGGTAATCCAGGATCATTCCCATCTCAGGCCTTGGAATCCCACCTGCAAAATCCCTTTGCCACATGAGGCAATATGTCCACGGGTCTTGGAATCAGGACCTATTGCCCCGTAGTATGTCCATGTTGCCTTCCTCTGGCCCCCAGACCCTCTCACTATTCCTGGCTCCCCAACTCTTTGTTGCCTCAACACTCCAATGGGTTCCCGCTGCTGAGCCTTTGACAGGCTGTGTTGCAGCCTGGAGTGCCCTTCCCAGACCTGGTGACCGCACAGGTGAATCCTTCAGTTTCTAGCCCAGAGGTGCATTGCTGGGGACTCTTCACCACCCAGCTCATGACGACACCTACAGCCCCCGCTCAGCTCAGCGTCTGCCCTCCTCTCAGACTCAGAGGAGGGCCAGGCCACTCCTTGTGGGTCCCTCGCAGGTTCCTCAGCCTGGCACACAGCAGGCACTCAATGATTATGAAATGAATGAGTGACCAGACATCATGGTTTGGCTACCGCCTGGGCCGCTTCCAGCCTCTGGTCCCTGGCTGCCTGCCCAGGTGTCTTCTGGAATCTCATCTGGCTGTTCCACACAGCTCCTCAGGGCCTCAGGGGACCATGACAGGAAGGAAGTGGGTGGATAGGCGGTGCCACCAGGTCTGGCCACCACATTGTGGGGCACCCCGCCTGTCCTGCGCTGTGGTGATGCCAGTGAAATGAAGCATAGGTGTTGTAGCTGTTCTCCTCAATGCACCCCTGGAACCTGCTGTGGGCAGTGTATACCCGCATGAGGTGGCCACCAGAGCCCTATCTCCTGCCAATGCCTGCCCACCACCCACCATCGCCACCATGCACTTACTGACCCGTAGAGGTGGATGTGGTGGCTAATGGACACGAAGAAGCCAGTGTGCACAGCTTTGAGGGCCATCATGCCCATGCAGATGGAGCAGATCTTAACAATGCCTGCTGGGAGGGCCTCAGTCAGGGCCATCTGCTCCCCATCTGCTCCCGTTCATTGATTCATTCATTCAGGTAGCATTCACCAAGCACCACCTGCGTGCTTGGCTCTGTCCTGGGTGTGGGGACACACTGGGGACCACATGGGCCCAGCCAGGAGCTGTCCCAAGGGTGTGGCCCTGACATAGAGGGTATAAGTGGGGAGAGGTCAGGCTGGGTACTCTGGAGGGTACCGAGGAAGCACAGCAAGTTGTGGAGCAGGGGAGGGCCCTGGTTAGGTCAAGGATGAGAAAATCCAGCTGGAGAAGGTAGGTAGGTACCTGTCAGGACGAGCTGCTGATTTCAGTAAAAAGCAATGAATATAACAGTGACTGTGGGCTGCGGGGCCTCCCTGGGTTCTCATTGCCTCTGCCATGTCCAGCCCTGATAGCTCAGCCAGCTGCAGCTTTGTGATTCTGGGGGGATGAAACTCTAGAAGGGAGGCACCGCCCAGGCAAAAGTCTGGGGTGGGACACAGGGTGTTTATAGCAAAGTGCATTCAGTTTGATAGCCGGTAACACTGCTTGAGTGCCAACTGTATGCCAAGCACTGTACCCCACTAAGTCCACACAGCAGCTACAGACATGAGGTGCTGACTGTGCCTACTTCCCAGAGGGGGACACTGAGGTCTGGGAAGTAGAGCCAGCTTCAGGCCCCATCCATCCATCTGTGGGTGACCCCGGGTGATTTCTGTCTGGCTTTGAGCCAGTGTTTCCTGTCCAGTGAAATAGGACTGGGGCAAACCACTACACATACCCTCTGCCCCACCCATGTACTGAGGTCTAATCTGTAGTCAAGGCTTTGCCCTCTGGTCTTCAGTCTGGAGTTGAATGCCTGAGGCAACAAGGACCTCACCCCATCCCCATAGTGCCTTGCACATGCTGTTTCTTCGGCCAGGCCCCTGGCTCCTCTTGTGCATGATCAGCTCCTTCTCGCACTAGAAGGTTCGACTCAAGCCCACCTCCCTGGAGAGTCCCCCCAGTCACATCTTGTACATAGCCCAGTTTTAATTTTCTTTGCACCCCATGTGGTCCCCTCTGAAATTATATTACTTATTTGCGTGTTTAACTGCTTTACCCTCTGCTCTGGAACCCATTAAGTGTGAGCTGTCCTTGGTGCCCAGTACAGCATACAAGAAATGCCCATTTATTTCTGTTATTTTAATTTTTTAACATTTTCTTTACTTTTTTTTTTTTTTTTTTTTTTTTTTTTTTTTTGAGGGGAAGGGAAGGAGAAAGAGAGGGAAATATCCATGTGTGAGAAATACATGGTTGCCTCTTGCATGCCCCCAACTGGAGTCCTGGCCTGCAACCCAGGCATGTGCCCTGACTGGGAATCGAACCAGTGACCTTTTGGTTTGCAGGCCGGTGCTCAATCCATTGAGTTGCACCAGACAGGGCAAGGTGCCCCATTTAACAACCACTGAATTAATGGAGGACACAAGACCTCCAAGACGAACCCACACAGAGCCATTCACCACCTGTCACCCTATCACTGCCCAGATGGGGAAACCGAGGCTCAGAGAAAAGCAGCAACTGTCAGGTCACCCAGCAGAGCCAGGCCTCACCCCCAGCCTGAGTCCACCCTGCCTGGCCATGGCCACAATCAGTCAACTGGCCCAGCCAGCCGCCTGTCATCGTCCTGGTCTGGTGAACATAATGAGGGCCTTGGGAGCCCCAGATGAAATCCGCTAGGAAGGGCGGGGGTGACTATCTGGCCTCATGGTGGTGACTTAGGCAGTGGCCAGCAATGAGCTCCATCGCCCCAGCTCCTCCTGCCCAGACCTCAGAGTTGTGAGGAGACTGAGGCAGGCCCGTGGGGTCACTGATCGTCCTGGCCTCCCAGGGATCCCCAATACCCTCCTCTTTGTCCTTGCATCTCCTCTTGCTTCATACATTCCACAAATACTTATTGAGTGTCTATTGTTTCCTGGATGGGGCAGCAGTGACTCCAACTCGATGAGCTTCTTGGGCATCAAGGAGCCCCAGCAATACCAAATGCCTGCAGTGTAACCCTGGGCATGTCATTTCCCCTCTCTGCCTCAGTTTCAGAGGAACAAATACAGGGGTCCCCACCCAGGCAGATCTTGAGTTTTGTGTTGCATTGTGGGAGTCGAGGTCAGAGCCTGGCTCCTCCCCACTGCTTTATGTAACTACCTGTAGTCTGAGTTTCTCCTCTGTAAATGGGCCCAGTGACCCCAAACTCGACTACTTTGCAAAGACACTTCTGTGCTACTGAGCCAGTCCTGGAGCTAGGAGCTTCCTCTGTGACCGTTTGGGTTTGGCCCATTTTACAGTTGAGGAGAATGAATCCCATAAGGTAAACGACTTGGTCATACAACCACAGGAGGCCCTGGGACCCTCCGTCGTGTGAGAGAGGACCCAGCTCGTCATTAAGATTACTGCTGCAGTTGTTATTGCCAGTCTGTTTGCCCGGAACCACCCTTCCCCGCTCCCCACCGTCACCAGGCAGCCCCCTGCGACTCACTGCCAGGGCTGTGGCTCCCGCGGGTGCCTTGCACGAGGCAGCTGGGGACCAACGCAAAAAGAAATGGGTGGAGTAGAGGCGTCGCCAACGCACGTCGCTCTCCAGGTGTGGATAGCTGCGTGCTGTCCGCGGACCGCTTGGGGTCCCCGCAGCGCCGGGAGCTCGTGCCTGCAGCAGCCACACCAGGCCCAGCCACAGGCAGCTGCACATGGACTCGTTGCCCACTCGCTGCATACCCAGCCTCTTGGAGCAAGTCAGTGGCTCAGCGCCCGAATGTGACCGCCCCGCACGGGCCAATAGGGAGCCTCGGGGGCGAAGAACAGCACAAAGCGAGCAGGGCAACTGGGTGGGGCCAGAACGCGGTGGGCGTGCGGCAAGGGTGACCCGCTGCGGCCTCTGACTGGGTTGTTCTTGCTCCGAGGGGGATGGCGGTTCGTGTCTATGAGTCACTGGGTTGGCCTGCAGGAGCTGCGGGGTGTAATTATGAGAGAGGCGGGCTGCAGACATGGAGGGAGGCTCAGGCGGAGAGAGAGAGGGTGAGAGGAGACAGATATAGATAGACAGAGAGATCAACGGACAAAGACAGAAAGACAGAGATACAAATAGAGACAGAAACTGAGGGACATAGACCAAAAGACTTGAGAGACAGACTGTGACAATGAGGCCGAGAAAGGCTTGAGAAACATGGAAAGAGGCAGCAATACAAATACTGTTGGGAGATAAAGACAGAGGCTAAGAGACTGAGCTACAAAGAGAAAGAGACTAAGATGGAGAAATGGAGGTTGTGAGGCGGAAAGATAGCTAAGAGAGAGAAAGATACAGAGAGGCAGATATGGTGAGTCAGAGGATAAGTTGGACAGGGAGAAGTGGAGCTGCTCAGGGGTCAGAGGTTGGGTTGAAATTTCTGGCCTGAGTGTTGTCTGTGCTGGCCAGGCCCCTGGATTGGGCATGCCCAGGTGGAGCTTGTCTGCCCTCCAAACTGGAACTTCCTGAGCACCAGGCCTCTGGGCAGGAAGCTTCACCGAGGGCTGGGCAGGGAGGCGGGTAGCACGTGGGTGCAGGAGTGGACAAACATTTGCGGGACAGTGTGCACACAGGCATTTGGGCAGGCGGGTGGATAAGGTGTTGTGGGTGAGTGGATGGGGAAAGCAGACGATGGGAGGATGGGCTCACGGGCATATCGGTGGCCAGCGGGTGGTGACCGAGGCCAGCACCTCATCCCCAGCTTCCAGAGCTGCCATCCTAAGCATTAGGAGTGGGGTGGCCCTGTTTATATCCACACCTGCTCATCGTTTACAGACACATCTGAGCCTCACTGGGAGCCACCCCGTGCCCTGGACCCTGAATGGAGAGTACAGTGAACCTCCAGACTCAGAGCCAAAAGGCACCACTGATAGGTGGAGAAACTGAGGTCTGGGGGCGGGCAGCAACTTCCCCACAGACCCACACAGGACACATCCCAGGGTTCTAATCCCTGACCCTCTGCTCCCATCAGCCCAGTCCTACAGCCATGGCCCCAGGTGGCACCTTTAAATAGCACCGGGGTGAGGAAAACATGACAAGCCTGCCCTACTGGAAACTGGAGGGATAACTGGTTCAGCTGAAAGCTGAGTTGCCTTCTTGGTGGCTCTGGGGATTTGTCATCCCTCTTCCTGGCCTCGGGAGGGCCATACAGAAGCTGTGGCAAATGCCCAAGCCCCAGGCCTGAGGTGGGGTAAAGTGTCCCTATGGCCTGGGTCCAGCCCAGCCGGTCTCACCGTACTGGAGGCCCTGAGGCCAGCACCCGAGGGACTTGTCTGCATGCATCACCTCCCTAAGTCTCAGTTCCCTCTCTGGAAAATGGGCCAGGAAATGGCTGGTGTGGCTCAGGGGACATGCCTGGGTTGTGGGCTCTGTGCTCTGTCCCTTGTTGGAGGCGCTTACAGAGGGTGACCAATCGTTGCTTCTCTCTCCCATCGATGCCTCTCTCTTTCTCCCTCTTTTCCACTCTCTCTACAATAAAATAAGAAAAAGAAAATGGGCCAGGAGAGGGAAGGCTGGAAGGATGGAATGAGATACTCTATGGCCTTGTTGGACAGAGACTTAGAATAACACTCCCCACTTGCCAGCCAGCCAGAAACTTGGTCCTCCCTTCCCAGAGTGTTTTCACCCCGTCCCCCAGGAGGGTAATTTTGGGGACCCTGTGTGACAGAAGGGACCCACACCTGGAAAGCTGGCCCTGCCGCAGGTGTTGTTGGAGTTTAATAAAAGCTTCATTGAAATATAATTCAAGAAAAAGAAAAAAGAAATATAATTCACACAACCACGCAGTGTTTTCAGTACATGCAGAGTTTTCAACCACCTCTCTCTAGTCTCAGAATATTCCATCACCCCAAAATGAAACCCTTTCCTCATTACCATCCACCCTCTACCCCTTCCCCCAGCCCCCGTCACCCACTAACCCACTTCCTCCCTGTGAGTCTGCCTCTCCTGGACATTTAACATAAATGGAATGATACACGACATGGCTTTGTATCTGGCTTCTCCCACTGAGCATCCTGTTTTCAAGGTCCGTCCGTCTTACAGCATGTGTCAGTGCTTCACGCCTTTTCAGAGCTGAGTAATATTCCAATGTATGGGTGCACCACGTTGTTTTATCCATTTATCCATTAATAGGCATTGGTTATTTTTACCTTTTGGCTGTTTTATATCATGTTGCTGTGGACATGTGTGTTCAGGTGATGGTGTAACCATATGTTTTTATTCTTTCATGTATATGCCTAGGAGTAGAATTCCTGGGTCATATGGTTATTCTATGATTAGCTTTTTGAAGAACTCCCAGACTGTTTTCCACAGCACCTGCATCATTTTATATTGCTGTCCACCGTGCATGAGGGTGTCAGTTACTCCATATCCTCACCAGTACATGTGACTGTCAATTTGATTACAGCCATCTTTGTGGGTAAAGCACAATGAATTCCCTGTACCTGGAGTCTCCAAATTTATATCTTCTTTTTTCTCTCCATCATCTGCAGAATGGGTTCATACACTGCAGCAAATGTACACAGGGGAATATTATGCAGTCATAAAAAGAATAACTTCCTGAAACACAACACTGATGACTCAGACATCATAATGAGTAAGCAGCCAGACACTAAAGAGACCTATTTCTGTGACATTCTAAAACAAGGAAACCGACATATGGTGTGAGGCGTCAGGGTGGGGGTTACCCTTCGAGGCAGTGATGGAGTTGGGTAGGAGGGGATTTTGGCAGCTGGGTGTTCTCTGGAACACCTGTGTGTTCAATTTATGAAAATGAATTGAGCTGTATTCTTGATGTGTCCCCTGCTTACATTACACCTCAAAAAGTGCACACATGTAATGTTTTTATGTACAGTAAGTGGATATTTGACAGTGAGCCACAGGGATGGTGCTGCTTCCCCTGTAAGCACGTCAGATGCATCTCCTAAAGGCATGGCCCTTCACCATAATCCAGCTGCAAAGGGTCGCCATAGTGTCCTTGAATACCTTTTTATCTGATCCCAAACTACAAAGTGCATTCGATTCTCCCAGAATCGGCTGAATAATGGCCCCCAAATATATGTCCACATTCTAATCCCTGGGGCTTGTGAATACCTTATTGGTATAAAGAGTTTGGGCAGATGGAGTTAAGATTTTCAAATGAGATTATCCTAATGGGCACTAAATACAATCACAAGTATCCTTATGAGAAAGACAGAGGGAGATTTAACAGACACGCAGGGAGAAGACAAGGGACAAGAGAGGCAGAGGCTAGAAGGGTGCGGCCACAAGCCCAGGGACCCCTGGAGCCTTCAGAAGCTGAAAAAGGCAGGAACAACCCTCCTTGGGAGCCTTTGGAGGGAGTGTGGCCCTGTCCACTCCTTGAGTTTGGATTTCTGACCTCTGGAACTGGGAGACAATACATTTCTGTTGTTTAAGGTACCAAGTTTGTTGTAATTTGTTACAGCAGCCCCAGGAATCAGATGCCATCTCTCTCCATCTAGAGATTCCCCACCTCTTCTGGGCCTTGTCAGCAAGGACACTTAGAAGCCTCATAGAGAGATCTGCCATCTGAGTTCATCTGAATGTCTCCTGGCTCGATTTGGACAAAATGTCTTGGGTGAGAACCTGACATACATGAACAGTTTCTAAAACATGGTATTGCCCAAACTCCAACCTCTTGACACTGTATTCTCCATTCAATTACATCTGCCTCCACCTGTCTTGTGTCTTACTAATGTTTTGCTTGTGTAAGTTTCATTTTTTTCCCCTACCTGTCTGGATTGTTTAAGTTTTACAAGGAAACTTGATATCACCATCAGGAGAGGAAAGCTAGTGCCATACATTGACTTTAAATAGAAATAAAAGAAGAACAGATGACAAATTCTCAGATCAAGAGGATCACAGCCAGGGAGCTGAGACTTCCATATATTCGCAGGACTGAAAGAATAGCTTTCTTGCCGCTAAGATCTAGGAATCTAGGTCTTGGGGAAATATTGGTTTAGGGCATCTGATGTTCCACAGAATAGAGGGAAAACTGAAGCATAAAAGAAGATAAAAGAATTCAGGAGTCTTGGCTTCCAGCCCAGATTCCTGGCTCTGCCAGATTTCTGGGGTGTGAGGGTGTGTCCCTAGGTCTTGGGGGACCAGGCCCAGCTGATTCAGCAACCCCAGGTTTAAGTTAAGTGTGAGGCCAATGCCCCTCAGCGCATTTTGGTGTGGGCTGGGACAGGTTCAGGCTGCTGTCCTCTGTTGAAAACGTTCCTAGCAGGTGACATGACTGTGCTTCACAGTTCACCTACCATGTGGGCAGTTGATCTGGAATGTGCTGTCAGGTCTTCAGGTCCAGAAGCCTGGCTCTTCCTAGAGCCCAGGTTTGACCTCCACTCTGGACTAGTGGGGAAATCGAAGTACGGGCATACGGGAACTGACGGCAACTTGAGCTGGGGCCCCTAGGCCCACTGTGGTGAGTCTCCTGAGCATCCCATCATTTCTATTTAAGCCAGCCTCACGTCACTTCTGCCTCAGCAGGGCCCCTGGCTACATTTTTCCTGTTTGTAAACTGAGCTGTAACGCCTGACCTGGTTTACCTGAGCTGTTCCCTCAGCCAAGCCATCCCTCAGGAGAGCTATTTTTACTGAAAGAAGTCTCTCCTGTGCCATCCCCCAAGTTGGGGACTGCTGTTGTTGAATTGGCAGCAGTGACTTTTT